TAGGGATGCGGTCCCTATGGAAACCAGTCTGATACATATCATTAGGGATGTGGTCTCTATGGAAACCAGTCATACACACACAATTTGGGGCGTGGTCCCTAGGGAAACCAGTCTGATTCACATCACTAGGGATGTGGTTCCTATGGAAACCTCAAGTATGACCTTAATTCAGTCATGGTCGTTCTGAGCAGAAGCACTTTCTAGCACTTACCGCAAAGTAAAACTCACCAGTGATGATGTGTTGTAAGGACAGTAGTAAGCTTTACTCTGTGCTTTTTGATGGCGTCCACAACCTAAACAAGACACAGAAAGCAAGCAAGATTTCCAAATGCAGCGGCCCATGAAATTCTATATCTGACTATACACTAAACGAAACAAGTGCTTGGGAAGACACTACATCAGACAGTCGCATGATGAACATGAACAGTCTTTTTGAAGACTTACGGCACGGTTCCACTTACTTTGTGCACAACTAAACAACAAATTGTATTTCCTCTCAAATATTACTAACTATATTTGATAAACAAGTCTTCAAAAAAATTCCCACCAGTGGTTTCAACTCAGCACTAAGAGTTTCCGATAATTTCGTGCACGAATGGAGGGTGTGTGGATAGTGTTTTTTTTTTTTCAAAAAAGGCAGCATGGTGCATGATGCCCTGGACCTATTTTGTATTCTTGGTTCCCCTTCCTCCAATTCCTCCCCGAAAACCCACAGAGATACCTTCTGGGGCTCCACTGGGTCCACGATGGCGGCCTCCCGGGTCTCCTCGTCGATGAGGAGATACATGTAGTTGTCGGTCAGTGCCGGAAGCAGCTCCACCTTCATGTCTGCCTGAGCGACCAGCGAAGCCCGCCGGGAGGAGTGGAGGCAGGCTGCACGGGCCTGGGCAAGGGCTGAGAGGGAGAGAGCTTCACCTCCTGCTGAACCACTTATCTGGGCAAGTAAGGAGGACTGACCCTGGATTCATACCTATTGTTATGCTGAACTGGATATGAACATAGATCTATGTACAGTATATCCTCTTATTTACACCCAAAATCCCCTTCATTTTGGAAGGAAGGAGTCTGTGCGCCCCCCAAATTCTGGGAAGGACTATTTCTTGACAGAGCAGTTCAAGTATGTAGCTGGGTCAGCCTGCGTAGGCTGCAAAGGAACAAGTAAAGGTTTTTTCGAGGCTGAAAAGAGGCGGGGAAAGAAACACAACGTTTTGCCTGTGACACTCCCGAAGAAGGCTCCACAGCTGGAAGGTTGTGTTTCTTTCCTTCTCTTTTCATCATGGAATAAACCTATTACTTGGTCCTTATTTCTTGACAACAACATCATCGTCAACATTAAGTTGAATGAGGTTTTACACCAGTATTACTGCACGCACACAGAACATTTTATACTGTAAAGGTTCATTCCATGCTGCAAGGTAAAGACTAGGAACACATCTTGACCGTTGCAAAGTTGCAAACAAATAATTTATACATTTAATACTGTATATTCACTAGTACAGCAACAAGTGTCCGCTGTCAATCGATGCTGCCAAAGAATGACGGCATCGTTTTTGTTAGGGCTTCTGTAAGAATAAACTGAAGCATGTATTTTAAAGGGGAGGATCAAATGAAGACCAGCGACTCGTGTATATATTCAATTATGCTCATTCTTCCGTGCAATCAGACTTTACTGCTAAATGGTTTGCATTACTTTGGTGTAATGAATTTAAACTGCATTCATGCCTATCGCTGGACTCTGTCCAGTTTTTAGTTTTAGCGAGGCGTGACAAGATTAAAATCCTTATCCAAGGAAACTTTACTTCTGGGGATGACGCATCAAATTATGTAACACAATAAGAACGAACTGTCCCAGTTTTTGTCACGATTTAAAAACGAAACAGCATTTCTATAAAAAAGAGGGAGGGTTAAGTGTGTAATTTTTGCTAAACAACCGTAGTTCTTTTCACAGTTTAAATTAACTACAAAGCTATATACTGTGTGTATTTCATTTAACTTGACGTACACTGAAATAAACACTGAACAGGAACTACTGTTTTTCTGCGGCATTCGGAGATATCCAAACTCAAGGGAGCTGATGTAATATGCAGTACCTCCTCCTAAGGCTGACAGAGACTAAATCGTTAAAATCCGACCAGACAGGACGTTTTGGTCAGAGCCAAAACGAACTCACGGTGCGTCGCGGCAACACTAAAAGCTTCAGTCGTGTAGAAACGTACCAAGTTTACACGCAGCAGCTCCTAAGACACCGAGAGCGCAGGCACTCGCCAGTGACCTGTACATAGCAGGTGTTAATATTAGCGTCCGTGCAGGAACTGAACACTGTTGGGGTTTGAAGTATATCATGTCATTACTTTTCAACTTTGACCCGCCCAGGCTCAGCCAATCCCAGACGGGGGTGTGTCGCTGGCAGTTTCGCGTGATGCCGTAGAAGCCAAGTGATGATAGGGTTACCAGCGTGGATTAACAAGTATAAATATTATTTAACTTGTGCCCTTCGTTGTCGAAGGTCCAGCATGCACGCGTTTTATGATGCCCGTCCGTAAACGTGTCACTAATGTAAAGACTCGGGGGACCGTTGCCCGGGTCCGGAGTTGTTTTGGCACTCCTGGCACGCCGTAGCAAGCCTTGCGCTTCTGCACTGTCCAAAGGTCTAGTGCGGCTTGTATGTTATCGGTGAACAGCGGGATAAGGTGCGTTCACATTCGCACGCTTATAACAAGTGGTGCGGACTCAAAAGGCATTTTTTTTAAGGCATGGCTTCCGCGAGAAATTTAAATAGATTCTGGGAATGGGGCAGGAAGATTATCTGCGTCGGGAGGAATTACGCGGACCACGCCAAGGAGCTGAAAAACGCCATCCCCTCCGAGCCGGTGCTGTTCCTCAAGCCCCCCTCTGCCTACGTCAGGGAGGGGTCCCCCATCCTGCTGCCGGTCTACTCCACCAACCTGCACCATGAGGTGGAGCTGGGGGTGGTCATCGGCCGGGGGGGCACGGCGATCCCGCAGGAGGCCGCGATGGACCACGTGGCTGGGTACGCGCTGTGCCTGGACATGACGGCCCGGGACGTGCAGGAGGAGTGCAAGTCCAAAGGCCTGCCCTGGACCCTGGCCAAGGCCTTCAACACGTCCTGCCCCGTCAGCGAGTTCATCCCCAGGGACAGGGTCCCGGACCCCGGCAACGTCCGGCTGTGGCTGAAGGTGAACGACCAGCTGCGCCAGGAGGGCAGCACCTCGCAGATGATCTTCTCCATCCCTTTCCTCATCAGCTACATCAGCGAGGTCATCACGCTGGAGGAGGGCGACCTGATCCTGACCGGCACGCCCAGGGGGGTGTCGAGCGTGCAGGAGCACGACGAGGTGCAGGCCGGCATCGAGGGCGTCGTCAGCATGACTTTCCGAGTCGACAGGCTGTGACAGCTGGGGACGCGCCGTTAGGACACAAGACTTTCCAGCCAGATGTCGGAGAATAATAATAATAAAAAAAGCTGATATATATTTTTAAAAACACCTTTGTAAAAATTAAAGTACATTTTAATCTCACTAAATTTACTCGGTAATATCTGTTTGCCTGCTCACATGTTCCCCAAAATTAAAAAAAAATGGAGGCATAAGAATGGAGGACCATAGTCATGGATTCCTATATTCCTTGCGCTGTAGTAATCATTTCCTATAACCTGGGAATCGGAACTACTGCAGGAATTCTGAGAAGAATGTTTCCAGGTCAAAAAAGATGCAAACTTGTTTTTCCAAAACACATAGACAACGGATATGGGGCAGAGCGGTGGCTCTGTGCCTAAGGATCTGCGCCTGTGACTGGAAGGTTGCTGGTTCAAATCCTGCAGCCGGCAGAGGAATCCGGCAGAGCAAGTTAACCCCAGCTGCTCCAGGGGTGCTGTACAATGGTTGACCCTGCGCTCTGACCCCATGCCCTCTCCCTGTCTGTGTGTCTCAAGGAGAGCAAGCTGGGGTATGTGAAAAGACAAATCCCTAATGCAAGAAATTGTAATGGGTTAATAAAGAGATGTTGTTATTATTATTTATTTTTTTTCTCTCCAACTCCCCTTCCCAGCCTGCTGAGTTTGGTGTTGTGAGCCGGTTAAGCATCAACCTGAGTTTATAGTAACTTAATATTGTTAGAAAACAAACTTGAGAAGCAATTCTAAACACAATGCAATGACTTACTTCTTTACACAAAAAAAAACATCAGATTCTCTACATTTCTCCATTTATTTTCCATTAACCATCCGTCAGGCTCAATGCTCTCAATTACATTCGTGTGTGTATAGTTGAAAAATACAATTCCAATCATTTCACAATGGACCTGCACTCATTCAAGACACCTTACTCTGGTTTTCTGAAAATGGCGTCTATGAGGTTCTACTTTCCTTTCAGTTCTTGAACATTTACTTCACTTTGTACCCTGCAATAATCACATTGTGATGTAAAGAAAATAAAAGCTATCATGACATTTAAAAAAAAACAATATCAGAGAATTTCATTAATAAGAACATTGCATCACTCAGTTAATGTGTGCACCAAAAATCTGATAAAAAGGAGATCAGAAAATGTACAAGATAAATTATATTCTATCTCACATTCGGCTAATGTTATTCAAATTAACAGTAAATGACTTAAAACAAGTCTTTAAACGCCAGATGTTAAAATTCAGCAATAAAAATATTTGATAATTTAGCTCATAGAGAGCAGATGTTTGGATAGTGTATTCTTTTTTGAAAAAAGGCAAAATTAACAATACCGTCCTGGACTTCTGCCTGTTTCGTATTCTGGGTTCACATTGCTGATCTCGAAAAGCTTTGTCCTGTTTCCACAGGGTCAGCCAGTGTGCAGGACAGCACATTCACCCTCAGACCACTTCTGGAATTGGGGGCTGGAAGCACCTGGAAATTAACAGCTTAAACTCGATGACTGTGGTAGGCTGGGAGTTTAGGAAAGGAGGAAACATACAGTAGAGTTAAGAGAAATTTCAATGTAAAAGGAGGGAATTAAAATCAAGTTAGAAAACCAAAAGCAACAGGTCATATACTTACAACTTTAGAAGTAAATCTCTAAATACTAGAAATGTTTACAAATCTTTGGTTCTAGAAGTAATGGCATTAAGAGGTAATTGTCATTATTGGAGTAGTCTGAAACCTGGTTAACTCAGTGACGGAAATTAATGTTGTATCAGTGAGCACTTTGTTCTTAGAAAATACTAAACCGATGTGGTGGGATAACACTATAAAAGTAACCTTCCAAATGTATTTGTGTCTTGGAATGTAGAAAAATATCTATTACACTTTTGAAATGAAAGAAAGAATTATACATGTAAAAACAACCTGATAAAAGACATGTTTTCAAACCTTATGGTAAACTTTGCACCTTTCCAGAAGGAATTTCCATTTCAGGGCTGTCTTCTGCCCTTCTGTCAGACAAATAAACTCTTCAGCCTGTCAACAAATTAAATAATCATCCAAGCTGGTGTTACGCAAACTAACTTTTATTTTTCAAATAGATGTACATCACTGAAATAAAATGGAATTTACATTTCAAGCAAGCATAATAAAACTTATAAACTTACAAAATTATTCACAACTTGCAATTATACAAAGAAAAGTTATAAAATAACTGTATTTGTATCTGGACATTGTGAAAAATATACTGCCTATTAAATGACAGCACACATGGAGGTTAAAAGACAAGAATGCATTTATGTACATTTTCAAGAGCATTGTGAAAAAGTACATAAAGTATTAGAAACAAACCATATGCAGTGGTCATGATACTCACAGTGCAGCCCAGTGTTTTTTCTGCTGCAGTGCCAGACAGGTTGCAGGACTTCAGAGTGCCAGTGTGATCAGTGAGGTCCACCAGCAAATCAAAGCTTGCAATGGCTTCTGTAGGATTTCCTGACTCACTGCATGTGATGCTGGAGCAACTCTGCGTTTCTTCATTTATCAAAAACATGCATCTTGCACTAAAATGTGAAGACGATATTTTCATCACCTTGTTCCAAGAGATTACACACTGTGTGCTTATGAATTTGTATTACTTTGGTAACATAAACAAGATCAGAAGCTGTTACTCTATTAAAAGTATAGTCACTTTGAAATTAAGCACTGCTCCCTGGCTTTGTGTAAAGATCAGACGTTTGAATTAGAAACACATTATTTCTGACATCTGATACTAGATTTCTATTTGGAACAAAGCATGCCATCCTTTGTTAAACCACACATGTAATTGTGTCTAAGAACAATTAAAAAATAACTGTAAAGGTATTTGCTTTGACATTTAAACAGCTATATTTTAAGAAGATAGCTGTTGAAAGGCAAGCACTTAATGAAAATTCATTACAAACAGAACTCACCACCTGTTTCGTATTAATTTGGAACAAGATGAGTCAAGGTTCATTGTAGTGACAAAGGCATACGTGATTCCATAGATGGAGTCAGGCCCATCAAGATTTTCATGGGCTCTGAGTTTCAGCTGATGTACAGTGAATACATCAACAATAGAGTCCACTGAAAATAAAACAAATCATAAGTGCATTTCATTCACTGACCCTAAACCTTTATAAAAAAGCTGTTTACAGATCACTATAATGTCAAAGCATCAAGACTGAGGCACAGTAAATACATCAACAAGATTCCACTGAAAAATAGATAAATTATGGATGCATTGTTATGCATTAAGCCCAAGCAGTAAACTAAGCAGTATTGGAGTTATGGAAAGAAAGGAAAAAGGAAGGCCAGTATTTAGGAAAGCTGTTTACAGATTACTAAACAGCCAAATAATTAAGATGAATAATATAAATAAATCAGTTTCTGTCAAGCAAATCCACATATTGTATAACAACTAATTATAACATCTGTATGCAATTATTATACCATGTTACATACAGTTCACTCCATCTGCTGCCAGGTCATCTGGGTCATCCAATCCTCCAGTTTTAACAAACTCCCCGGCATAGTTGAACAGCAGATTGGCTTCTTTTGTGTCTAAAACATTTATGAACATAAAAAATTCAAATACATTATTCAAGTAAAATATAAAAATATATCAGTTACAAGCCAATAATTTTGACATCCTGCTCTAGCAGCTGAAATTCAAATCTACTCTTCCATAACATGCAGTTCTATAAACCCGGAGCAGAACTGTAAGGTTACCATTTGGTTTTCAATTACTATTTAGATTGATAGACAGTAGTAATGAACCATATGGGAAGTGTGTCCAAAGTAAATTAAGCAGTGGCTTGTCACTGACACTATTCTACGATGGTTAAAGGTTCTTTCCATGCGTTACTGAGTATGGAATATATACGTGTGAAGAAACTTGTTTTGAAGTGTCCCATACTGTATATCACCTGCAGTGCAGTGTAGAATTTCTTCTAGGATCCCGAAGTAAGAACAATTTATCAGTATGTTTCAAAGGAGCATTAGAGAAAAGGGTGGCTTAGGTTTCATGCATTTAACAGAGGGTTTTTAGCTATATAAGGTTACATATGGGCCAAGTCTCTAACATTTTATTCCTAGAATAAATAATGAGGTTTTACTTAAAAAGAAACACCTGGAAATGAGGCTACAGCCAGGTAAATTGAAATAGCTTTGGCAATAATGAGACAAGTTTAGGTAATTTAACTAGTGGTTACACTGAACCTATGAATCTAGTTATATTTTTTCTTGGTTTTATCCTGCTCTTACCAGGGTTGACAGTAATGATTGTTTTCGAAGTAACTGTTGCAGCCATACTGTGACGAAACCTGTCAAATGTAATTCGGGCATCAGCAATGAAGAGCACTGCAATTAAAAAAACATCAAGTCAATAATTCAAAAAAGAGTTCATCCCGTTCTTTTTCATGTTATAAATTTCTGTACCTGTCTCTATTGGGATCCATGTCTGAGCAAGATGAATGGCTTCATTGTCCCAGCTAAATTAAGAGATAATTTCATCACAAAACATGAACATATTCAATACAGCATTTTAAAACTTATTTGATCTGAATCTTTAACCATTTCTCCTGCATCTTACCAGATCAAGGGAAAGGACGGTACAGTTTCATCAAATAGTTTTACTTCACACCTCTGTCCTTTGCGCCTGTCTGCTGTTGTGAAATACTTTGGTCCACCAACCTATGTACAACACATATACACTTAATTATAAAACATCTGAATTAAACTATTTTCTGTATTGCTCCTGGCCTTTGTAAAACACATACTCATTTAAATATTTTAATCTGTAAAACATCTGTATTCTCACTGTTAATTCCTGTAATGACTTTAATGTAATGTATGCAAAATTAGAATGTTCCATTAATTTCCCCCAGCAGAACACTACAATTTGGAAAAGCCAACTGTAATACTGCAAGACCTGGACCTTTGTCTTGTTGTGGAAATTGAAACTGAATCAGAGACATGCGTATTGCCATAATCATCTACATTTTAAGAAAGCTATCCTTAGCTTTTTAAGCAGAGTACTTCTGACACAAGAAAAATGGGCCACAGACCTTATAACTCCCTGTCCATCACATGCACTGATGAACTACAATGAACTACAATACTCTTAATACCAGCTGAACTCAGATAAATATGCACCACCTCTGGGAGATCCCTGGCAGAGGATAAATGTCATAAACTATATTACAAGCATTCACTAAAGGTCTCACCCTGCACTCCTACTGGACATTTTTATGGACAAAGGCAGTCAATGGTCCCTAAATCTAATGTCTTTGAATCGGGAATTAATAAAACTAGACAGAGGTGCTTACCGATCGAACTGCTGCCAGAATATTTATAACTTTTCCATCAAGGCTCTGCCCATTGGCAATAATGTCCCCCAGTGGGTAGAAATCTTGAGAATCCTTCACAGGCAGATGGAATAAAGAAAGAAGCCTGGTTTCTCTTTCTATGTCAGAGCATACCCTGACAGTTGAATGGTTTTCGCTCACTAACAGTTTGTAGAAGCTGAAAATAGAAGCATGTGAACTTGTTTTGAAATTTGCTTGGCTTTCACATTCACTGAAATAGATAAAAAAGACCCAGTCAGACATAGTGGAATTACAAAGCAGTGCTCCTCACCCTTGTTCCTGGAGAGCCGTAAGATCTTCTTTTTCACCTGAGCTCTTAATAGCTTAATTGAGATAATTATTGACTTAACTGTTTTAGGTAAAGTGCTACCTAAACCGTCAGTTTGCAAATCTTTAGTTACTGAGGAGTAAACGTTCAAATTCAAAATGGAACAAGCAATACACTTTGTAACTGTTTATAGCCTTAATTGTCAAGGGAAAATATATACAGTATTTACAAATTATAAACTGTATATAATATAGTCCCAGAAATATTTCGGGGGGCACTTTATATCTTGCCTTGGGGTTGATGGGTTGAACTGCTCCTCTTTCTCCACATCTTTGGTTACTATTAAAGGGTTTTCAATTACAACTGTAATAAAGGCAGACGACCTTGTCAATAGCAAGTAAATTAAAACAATTTCACCAGCAAAAAAATCTCTAAGTCTCTTACATCAATACAATATATTTTCATTATGCAGCACAGCTGCCTACAAATATTCAAGGTTATTCAATAGTGTTGACAGCCTACTCGGCTTAAAGTGATTATTGGTCATTTCAAAACAGAAAAAAGCAAAGCATGGAGTACTAAAAGACACTGACGTTGTCTTACCACAGTCTCCAATTCTGAAACTGTCTGACAAGGCACGGATAAAATTCTCTCTTCCCCAGGAAAAAACATTGATGAAATGGTCAGGAGAATCCTTAATTGTAAACCTGAATGTGTGTCTTTCTGACCCAATATCTGAATACAAACATGACAGTAACAGAAACTGAACAACCATCATTTTTTCTTTCATGATGTAAACACACAGTGATAAAATGACAAATGTTTGTATTTTGGACATTTATCATTTACAACACATCTTAAAGGCTTATATTCACAGAACCTAAGTCCATTTATCACATACAGTATGCATAATCTGTCTCATGTCTTCCTGGGTATTTGAAGCAAAAGTGCATAAAACAAAAATATCATAAAGAGTAAATAACCTATGCTATTTTAAACTATTTTAAGATCATTTTAAATATTAGGAACACAGCATAAGTAATAAAAATCTCAAGTCACCATTAGATGGCAGTGTGAACTCAGAGCTTTACAATCAGCCAATAAATGAATTAAGGAAAAGAAACTGTTAGGCTCCTTAAGTGGAGTTGCATTAAAAAATTGGTCATATAATTTATAGAGGTAATTTCATAACAACAGTCAAATCAAATAAAATGTGGTTGTTCTGTAATATGGGTGGATCTTAAAAAATGTTTTTAAAAAGTTTTACTTTTCAAGTAATAAAATAGTTATATGTAAAAAATAAATTCCTTAAGAGTCAGTCTTCATTTAATTACCACTAAAAATATACTGTACGCAACTTTTTCTGTCTGGAAAGCCTTTGATATCGGTCTTGCCAATAACAACTCCTTCGACATTCTGCAAAACACATAAATATACAATTGTAATGAGTCATAAACCTTTATGCACAAGTATATTTACAAAATGTTTTTAACATTTACAAACTTACACAATCCAGGTTTTATACTACATGGCCGCAATTGCTGAGTACTGCAATTCTGTGGTTTCAAAGTAAGTTTAGCTTTTGAGAACTACTATAATGTAGTTCCACGGTAGTTCTTTATTAATGCTGAAAAATTAAGTAATGCTTCAGAATTCAGTCCATTTTAGAAAACAATCTGCAGCACGATATTACATATTGATGTTTTGGCATGCCTCACTTCATTGACTTGTCATTGAAAAATGTCATTACAAGTGACATTTAAACAAATTGTAAACAAATAAAATGTAACATACTGTAAGTATGCAGCTAAAGGAATGTTATTACTAACTGCAAAGTGTAACAAGAACAAGAATCTAGCAATTCGTTGGACACCCCACTCAGTACGATACAGATACAGTGCAGATCCGATTTTCACCCTTGTGGATTCAAGACAACACTCTTCTAATTTTCTTCAGATGGTTGTACAGACAGTAGGGGCTAATAGACAGATACACTGTATAAATACCACACATTTCTACAACAAAGAAAAAACAAACTATGGTAAAACATGGCCAGCTAAGCAACCTGAGAAAACAAAGCACCAAGCAATTTCAATTGATAAATACACACTCACTATTCAAGAAGAATTTAACTTTTAGGCTACTTTTCAGTGAAATTGGTAGTGAATTTAAGACCTCATTAAGGACTGTAATGCACAAGTAATGTTTTCAGAGAGGGAGAAAAACAAGGAGCTACAGTAAATAAACACACCAAGTTAACCAAATGTTAAGGCTAATTTTTACTACTATTACTGCTGCTACTACCACTACTAATATTTTACTTACAGGATGAGTGGTGCTTGGGTGCAGGTCCGATATGGAAATGCAGTTCTGAAGTGGAGCATTAAATGACATTTTTTCCCAACCTATAAATGAACATAAAGTACAGTTAGTGGTAATAAAATGATTTGCATTGGGTGGTTAACATAAGCAGGACCTTCTCCAAAAGCTGCCATCCAGCCCTTATATAAACTGGCCACCGATATAGCCTGTTCTGGTCCGTCAAAAAGATGACTGTTAAACAGTAACTCGGTTTTATATGGCCTACCAAATTCAGTACTGTTTTAAGGTATATATTAGATGCTGAATACGACATTCCAAACCCTTTAGAGTTTGAGTTTATTTTCTCTGTCTTTTAGTTTACTGGGAATAGGTTTAACCGACTGATAGGGCTCTAGGTACGAAGGTGTGATTTCCTTTCCTTGTTACTGCTGGACGGACTTCGGAAATCTGGCATAATCACCACAACATGTACAGACACAAGATACGGAATATTTTAACATTTAAATACAAATAATATATAATAAACTGTTTTACCGCGGAAATGCCGAAAACGTTTACTTCTGTCGAAGCCAATTAGGTTGATCAAATCCCGTAAGTGAATTAAAGAAAAGCGTCGTTCAAGAAGAAGTTAACACGGGCTGACCAACATGGCGTCCAGACCTGACGCGCCGAGGCGCAGTGATGCGCGCGACAGCCTCACAGTCTGGACCCTTCGAGAAGGATGAATTACTGTATATATTTCAGAATAAAATAAAATAAAAAGTGTCTATATTTATCCATCGCTTCTGCTATCTGGTAATAGGTCAGCTTTACTCTTGTTTGCGTGAGTGCTCGGTATTTTGTTTTCCGTTAAAGATATACTAAACATGGTGATTACACTAATTTTATTAAATAGTGCGACGGTGAATAAGAATATCCTATATCGCATTTCTCCTGAATGAAGCACAGGGAATTGCATGTAAATCTTAAGAGTAACAATAAAATGAAATTGCCTCGGTGACTAAAATAGTAATGCAGACATCCGAAACAGTAATCTAACTAAACAAAGTAAATAAAGGTTTGTTCCATGCTGAAAAGAGAAGAAAAGAAACACAACGTTTCGGCTGTGGAGCCTTCTTCGGGTGTGTCATCCAGTGATTTATTTTACCTTACCTTAAGTATAACACATTTTATTAAAGCTGCAGTTGACTGGCTTACATCATGAAAGGTCTGGGTGAGATGTCTTTGGAGATGTGCAGTATGAAGTGATATAGGATATCATATTTTAATGTTTGAATTAACCCGCCTGGAAGGGGCTGATAAAATTCCCCTCCTTGTGAGGAATGAACTAGGGAGGTAGCTGCCAGGGAGAAAAAATGGAGGAGATCCTTTGGTCAATTAGCTACTAACTACCAAACAGTCCAGAAGGGCTGAGTGACCTTCTTTTGTTTGTAACGGTTCTATTGTTCTCTCCTGACTTTTCACTCTTTGAAATGATCTTATTGCGATTCTCAGTTCCTCTGGCTGGATTGCAGTCAGTGAGCCAAGGTCAGTGCGTATTGGGTTGACAACACTAAATACGTGTGGTCATTCTGTATAATATCGCCAGACTGTGGAATTATAGGTTGAAAGCATGTTATCAGACACACCAGGAGACTATCAACAGAGACCCTGACTTATGGCAGAACGAATGAATATTTGAGATAGTTCCTCTTGTTTTTAAGAGTTAAATAACGGCAGGACAAAGTTTGTGCCTGAAAGATAGTATAAATCTAGTATTCCTTCTCCGCACTAAGCCTTTTCACAGGGCACTACAGTCTGAGCTTCCAGTTCTTGGTTAGAAGGCCTCTCCCTCCCTAGCTGCCAGCTGAGCAGCCAAATCTCGATGTGACCTCCTGTACTCATTTTCGAGTTCTGATTCACCAGACACGTTGAACATTTCTCGTAAAAATGTGCTCTCGGCACCTTTCAGCAAGAGTGCGTTCAGGGTAACCGAGTCAACAAATTGTGTGTTGATTAATGATTGGCGTTCGAGACACCCGGAACAGCCTCCTGTGGCCGAGGAACATTTCTGCAAATGTTCGCCCTTCAGCACTGTGCCATGCTGGTGGCCTTCAGTCAGCTGGGACGACTCGCGAACAGAAAATCAGCTCACTGATGACCATAGCCAGAGACGTACAGCTCATGGCCTGGGCTGTCGATGGCTCTTAGAGGATGAAAAAGGACCTTTCCAGTTCCTTGGGTTACTTTACCATTATTCTCCTCCATTTGCCCTCATTACACACCTAAAGCAGAAATCAATGCGGACCAGCGACCTACATGGACATGCCTGTAGTGTGGAGCTGCTGCCCTGTGGCTCTGAGTGATGGAAGCCCTCTGCTCTGTGTGCCAGCGAGGCGTCTCAGGCCCCCTTCATAACCTCATTTAGACCAGATGAAATGGCCACCACCTGGGCTCCCGTATTTATTATGTCAGTAAAACTCTTATAATTGTGCCGTGCCTATGAAATATGGACCCTCTCTCGAGTCGCTCCCGGGGTCAATAATTGGTGCTGTCCGCGGTAAAAATGAAACTTTAAATAAAAAGCGAAAGGTTGACGAAAGACAGCCCATTGACAGCCAAGAACCCTTCCCCTCCAGCAGACAGTAATAACTGCAGGTATTGATCGCGGAGACAAGTAATAGCCCAGATTAGAGCAGTGCCATTTACATGTAATTGCTAGGTACACAGTGCTACACCAGAGGATGAATCTGCCTTTCAGAGAGCCGTTTATTAAAATGACCGCCCCAGAAAAGGCCCCTTTTTATTTTTTTTTACAGAATGCAAAAAAAAAAACCTGAAAAGAAAGCAATGAATCACTTGGACCAATACCTGGATTTGTAATAATAATCCGTTTATCATTATTTTAATAAGGATCCGTTGCGTATAATTCTGTATAGGAACAAATAAAGGTTTATTCCACGTTGAAAAGAAACTCAACGTTTTGGCGGTGGAGCCTTCTTCCCTCCCGAAGAAGGCTCCACAGTCGAAACGTTGTGTTTCTTTTCTTCTCTTTCCAGCGTGGAATAAATCTTCACTTGTTCCTTTGCAGCCAACGCATGCTGACGCCGCTACCTCTTGAACTACTATAATCATGTATAGTCATATATAATAACATATACCACGATTATTTATTCTTAGTAGTAGCAGCAGTAACAGTAGCAGTAGTAGCCTTTAATAATACAGCATCTCAAATGTCAGTTCATTTTGTGCTCTCCTGGAGAGCAGGGCAGAAGGCAGAATGTCATTTTTATAGATCACTGCAGCACTGTTGCTGGTGCAGTATTTAGTAATATTGAATGGGAGAAAGCCGTATAGACTACCTATCAGGACAGATTCCCCACTCAGACGCTGTTTAAGTCAGGACTCCATAAAATCACGCCCTCCACACCGACTTTGTTTTACTTTCTGTATTCATTCGCACAGTTATTTACTCCTTTCTGTGAAGCTGTGTGAGTGACGAGCACAATGATTTGTTTCCATTACTCGTCTTCTTTTATAAGACAGTGATTAAGAAAGACTCCCCCCCCCCCTCCAAAACAAATCAGCAGTGACACACAACTGTTCCAATACACTAAACCTACAAGATGATAATTGCTCAGAGTGTCCTGCTTTGCGTTATTTCTCGGTTTGCTGTGCCCTAATCAGCTCCGTGTGTTACCCCACTCAGAAAGGAGAGAAGCACTGCCCTGGGCCTGTGCATTGTGTTCTCCCAGAGACTCAGCCTTTTCTTTGATCAGCTTTTTTTTTTTCATTTAATGAATCAGTCGGGACAAGTTCCCCATCCACCTGATATGGCCAGGTGCATGGAGAGAACCGCACTGTCTCTGCAACGTGATCCAGCTAATTGCTCGGGTTAACCTGATATCAAAAGGTACGCTGTGCAGGCCTCAGCCAGGTGCTGTCAGTCAGCTGGGCACTTGGCTGATCCTCTGGGCTATACTCTGAGGTCTAAAAGAGACATATTATCTTATGTAACAATGTGTGTTTTTGCACTTAGCCAGTGAAATCTGAGAAGTCTCCTGCACGGCCCGGGACGCTGATCGCATTTTTGGACGAGGTGTCAAGGTGATTTCAGGACACCTGGACACCTCGAAGCATTCACTTTTATGTACCTCCACTTCTCCGTGGTAACACATTTTGAGTGGGCACAGGTGGAGCACGAATTTGTAATTCGGCAGCTCGGCCACATCCTGCGAAGTGCATTAGGGGTTGTTTGCATTAAGGGTAGCTCTCCTAACTGAGGGAACAGCAGCCTGACCATAAGGATGAGGCCGATCTTACCCCTCGTTCCTTCACTTTCTCACGGAATGAGCCAGGGAGCTGCAGCAAGGGTGTTGTGAGGGTGGTGGCAGAGGAGCAAGAGAGATGCACAAAGGAAAGCCCAGGAGGTGAGATATAAGTAGGAGAGGGGACGTGGGCAAGACCAGAACCTCATCTTACACCCTTCTGTTAAATACCCCCATGAAGAAAAACGGGAAAGACAAGTCTGGGTCTCACATCAAACGCATTCCAGCTCTCGTGCTGCCTTACTGCCCCTTAAGAAGCAGACTTTGGCTTGAATCAGAGGTTCCTTTCACGCTGCACAAAACACTTGCTAAATTCCCATAGCAAGGACAGGGGTATGGCATCAGACACAATCAGAGACCATCACCAGGCTTTGGCACCCACTTTGGGATGCACCATTCAAGCTGTAGGAGTCCCACATTTCTGGATACTCCACTCAAAGCGCTTGACAGGTAATGGGGACTCCCCTCCACCACCACCTGTGTGTAGCCTCACCTGGATGATGCACCAGTACGCTCCCCACACACCAGCTCTCAGTGGGGAGGAGAACAGAGTAATGAAGCCAGTTCAGAGATGGGGATTATTAGGAGGCCATGATTGGTAAAGGCCAATGGGAAATTTGGCCAGGACGCCAGGTTTACACCCCTACTCTTTTTGAGAAACACCCTGGGATATGTAATGAGAGTCGGGATGCCATCAATATACTGGGGCATTAGGACCCTCACAGACCTCTTCCAGCAGCAACCTTATTTTTTCCCAGGAGGTCTCCTGTCCAGGTATTGACAAGGCTCACACCTGCTGAGCTTCAGTGGGCTGCCAGTGGTGAGTTGCAGGGTGATATGCCTGCTGGCAAGCTAAATTAAGCATCTTAGGTAGGTACCAATATTTAAAAGCAATTGATAGAAGCTGTATGGCACAGAAGCAGAGTCAGACATTGTGGTAGCACATCTGGACTGGTGCTCTCAGAGCCTAAAACAGAGACTGCTCATCAAGCTAAATTCTCTAGGTTTTTGCTGGGATACTAGAGAAACCACTCAGGATCACCAGAGACTCTGAGTTCACACTGTAAGAGACTGATTTTTAAAACCAAAAACCAAAAACATTGTTTTCTCCACAGTAACTCTTCATGGGAATCGGGTTATGTAAAAATGAAGTGTTCGGTCACGCGCCTGTATTGGCTTTATTGGTGGCTGCACATCTTGCTGCTAGCTGTGGAGAAGGGTTTAACTTGAAAGGAAAGTGAAGTCCAATTCTTCTTTTCATCCGTCTCAGACAAAAAATATGCAAATGTCAAAAAGAAATAAAAAAAAACCACACACAACAGCGCAGCCTGCTGGGAGGTCCGCGTGATAAGAAGTTG